GATCTCACTAAGAGATTATTCGCTTTGCTTGAGTCTCACTTGACTGGTATATCATACCAGATCTTCCACCTTTGTCAGATATGTACACGATTGTTTGGTTACTTGTTCACTTAGAACCGTTTCTTGCTTATACTAACTAATAATTCTCTCTTTCGCTTTATTAGATGAAGCCATTTTTATAATACAAGATTATCATCGGATAAATGATTATCCGGTTACACGCATTATTCTATTACTAAATTGATTTCATGCATTCACTGATTCGACGATCATGCCATTCATGCAACAGATCATGTTACACAAACCCGATCCTATTCCCGGCACTACGAATTCCAAGAGTACCGAATAACCCATGTCAGTTACAGTAACAAATTCAAAATTTGCTGCCAGCCCGACTCGAACCGTTGACCTTGTCTGTGGGGTTTGGGAGCTTAACCAATAAGCTACAGGGCCCAAACCCGAATTTAATATTTTTAAGTTAATATATTTATTAAGAACATTAATATTTTTTAGCGTTGGCCAAAAATTTCGTAAAACTGACATATAAAGTTTAGTAGTGCTGGTAAAACTTTCGCTATTTAATTGCTAATGTAAAAGTTAAGTACGTACATACATACTTACGTGCATACGTACAATTTTGTTATTTTTATTGAATCTATTATTCCGAAATTACTAACTTAATCGAATCGGTTGAAGTACCATTCGGTCAATTTTTATCAGGTGTTCCAGAAATTATGAAAATAGCAGTAAATGAAGAAAAATTTTCAATAAGTTTAACAAACAACCTTCGGTTAACTCAGGTAATTAGGTTACTCAGCTAATTTGATTAACCGATTGTGGTTGACCCGATTAGCCGGATAACTCGGTTGACCTAATTCGGTTGGCCCGGGTCAACTGATCTAACCGAAATAATACGGTTGAGTCGATTGTATCCGGGTAAGTTAACTCGGTTAGCCGATTTGGATTTTATTACCCGGTTCAAATCATTAGTCTGGTATTACGAAGACTCATATATAGTTATTCCAGAGCATCTTCGAGTATTGAGTAAACTTAAAACTTTAAATACCCTATATTTGTTACCCACGTGTAAAACGAAGTGAACCATATGTACGTTATTTTTTTGTAACGTTCAAGCAATAAAAAGAAATCGTGCTTTCATTAATTTTATAGGCATACATGTTAATTTTCTAAAGATGCGAATACAAGTCTATGACCTATTCACAGATGACATGAGTAGCATAATTAATCCGCACTAACTCGATGATTTTTCTTTACCACTGTCTGTATTATCATTCGTCGTCACATTTTGTATTGTAGTACCAGATTGTTCATTCCGCAGAAGAAATTGGCGAATTTTAGTTAATGCTCCCAGCACTTCTCGTCTCCCATCTGGTTCTACTAAATCCAGACCTTCCTGCTTTCCATTCTCCCCTGGCCATCTTTTAACGTTAACTGATGCCTCTTTGGGTAGACCATGATCAAATTCGGGCCAATATTCTGCAGGGATTACTGCTTTGTAAAATGTCACGTACGTTGAGATGACGCGCATAGCAAATATGGTTTGATTAATAAATTCCTCTTTACTAGTGGCACGTATGTTCTCATTTCCGCAGGCAACAATCTGTACGGCAATTTGTGTTTCCCCGAAACCGCTTGGTTTCCAAACATTTTTGATATGTTTGTCCTGTTAAACGGTTTTTTGATATCAATACGGTTTATTAAACAATAAGATGATCAAATACTAAACATTCTGACCTCTATAGCCACCATACTTAATTTTCGATTAGCAATCACAAATTCGGGGTCTGCTGAAACATATTGGTTTTCTTTAATGACTAGTCTACATAGCGGATGATTTCTGGGTTTTGATAGATACAAACTTTTAGCAAAATTAAGCACCTCACAAACAGTGTTGTCCTACAATTACTTACATCAACTTCAAGGGCCAGTCATTCAAGTCGACGATACGAAGCAGATCGTCCACCAATGTGTCAGTTTTAGACTCCAATGTGCCTGTGGCCACTTTTTCATTCATCACAACATCATGCATTTTATCAAGGAACGTTTTGACTCGATTATTTGAAACTTTATCAAGCTTTTCAACGTTAAAATCTGGGTCTGAGACATCACGGCGGTTGATTTCGGGAAGAAGATATTCTTTCGGAACTGTGACTGTACGATATGTGAATTAATTGTCAGTTTTAATTAATGTAAAGACAAAAAACATACCAGGATACTCGGTGGCAGGGATAACATCCTCGAAAGAAGCTGGCTGGAAATTCACTCTCAATAGTTTAACTTCAGCTGGTGTGAGGCTTGATTCTGATTTGGCCGTAATCCTAGTCTTTGTGGAAAATAGTTTAGGAAATGTTGATCGAGGAAACCTCCCAACTTGACGGAATAGCGACATAAGAAGATTATATGTTGGATAACCGATATTTTCGCGAAAAAAAGAAGCGTGGTAAGTAATCGCTGAAATCGGTAACGATATATAACAACGATCACCCGATCAAGATAATGTGTCGTTCTATATCTGGGATAATCGTTACATGATCGGGTATAGAATCTATTTCGGGGTATGTGGGATCTGAATAGATTAGAGGGTCCACCAAAATTCAGCAAATCGGCCCGAATTTGTGGTCAGGGATGGGCCGGAACAAAGTGGCTTTACAGCTGCTATCATTATTCCTGGGACACCTTATGAAAAACTAACCGAATAGTTATTCAGCCGATTCGATAAGTTATTGATTTCGG